CAACCCAGGATGTGACCTACACCAGTCCACTAACACCCAGGATGTGACCCACACAGTCACTAACACCTAGGATGTAACCCACACCCAGTCCACTAACACCCAGGATGTGACCCACACCAGTCCACTAACACCCAGGATGTGACCCACACCAGTTCACTAACACCAGGATGTGACCTACACCAGTCCACTAAACCCAGGATGATGACCCACACCAGTCCACTAACACCCAGGATGGACTCACACCAGTCCACTAACACCCAGGATGTGACCCCCACGAGTCCACTAACACCAGGATGTGACCCACACCAGTCCACTAACACCCAGGATGTGACCCACACCAGTCCACTAACCAGGATGTGGACCCACACCAGCCACATAACACCCAGGATGCCACCCACACCAGTCCACTAACACCCAGGATGTGACCCACACCAGTCACTAACACCCAGGATGCCACCCACACCAGTCCACTAACACCAGGATGTGACCCACACCAGTCCAGTAACACCCAGGATGTGACCCACACCAGTCCACTAACACCAGGATGCCACCCACACCAGTCCACTAACACCCAGGATGTGACCCACACCAGTCCACTAACACCCAGGATGTGACCCACACCAGTCCACTAACACCAGGATGCCACCCACACCAGTCCAGTAACACCAGGATGTGACACACACCAGTCCACTAACACCAGGATGGAACTCACACCAGTCCACTAACACCCAGGATGTGCCCACACCAGTCCACTAACACCCAGGATGTGACCCACACCAGTCCAGTAACACCAGGATGCCACCCACACCAGTCAGTAACAACCAGGATGCCACCCACACCAGTCCAGTAACACCCAGGATGCCACCCACACCAGTCCAGTAACACCCAGGATGCCACCCACACCAGTCCAGTAAACACCCAGGATGCCACCCACACCAGTCCAGTAACACCCAGGATGCCACCCACCAGTCCACTAACACCCAGGATGTGACCTACACCAGTCCACTAACACCCAGGATGCACCCCCACACCAGTCCACTAACACCCAGGATGTGACCCACACCAGTCCACTAACACCCAGGATGTGACCCACACCAGTCACTAACACCCGGATGTGACCCACACCAGTCCACTAACCCAGGATGTGACCCACACAGCACACTAACACCAGGATGCCACCCACACCAGTCCACTAACACCCAGGATGTGACTCACACCAGTCCACTAACACCCAGGATGCCACCCACACCAGTCCACTAACACCCAGGATGTGACCCACACCAGTCCAGTAACACCCAGGATGTGACCCACACCAGTCACTAAACACCCAGGGATGCCACCCACACCAGTCCACTAACACCCAGGATGTGACCCACACCAGTCCACTAACACCCAGGATGTGACCCACACCAGTCCACTAACACCCAGGATGCCACCCACACCAGTCCAGTAACACCCAGGATGTGACCCACACCAGTCCACTAACACCCAGGATGGACTCACACCAGTCCACTAACACCCAGGATGTGACCCACACCAGTCCACTAACACCCAGGATGTGACCCACACCAGTCCAGTAACACCCAGGATGCCACCCACACCAGTCCAGTAACAACCAGGATGCCACCCACACCAGTCCAGTAACACCCAGGATGCCACCCACACCAGTCCAGTAACACCCAGGATGCCACCCACACCAGTCCAGTAACACCCAGGATGCCACCCACACCAGTCCAGTAACACCAGGATGCCACCCACACCAGTCCACTAACACCCAGGATGTGACCTACACAAGTCCACTAACACCAGGATGCCACCCACACCAGTCCAGTAACACCAGGATGCCACCCACACCAGTCCACTAACACCCAGGATGTGACCTACACCAGTCCACTAACACCCAGGATGCCACCACACCAGTCCACTAACACCCAGGATGCCACCCACACCAGTCCACTAACACCAGGATGCCACCCACACCAGTCCATAACACCCAGGATGCCACCCAACAGTCCAGTAACACCCAGGATGCCACCCACACCAGTCACTGATGGTCAACACAGACAACGGTATTAAAGACAATGTTTCTACCCTCGCCAAGAATCAAACTTATAATTTCATTTTTCTCAAAAATTTCTGCTTATTCCACAAAATGTTTACAAAATTTGGTTATTGCAAAAGCTTTTCACAGTGTTAATTTTAAGTCACTATAATATTAAACAATAACATATTATGACCTTTAGAGGAGAAATTGTAAATTGTGGCATTTTAAACACCGTCAACATCCTCAGCTTCACTGAGCTTCACTTCGTCCATCTTGCTCTAGTTGTGAGGGTGAGTGGTTGTGAGGGGCCTCACAAGTTGTGAGGTTGAGGGGTTGTGAGGGGCCTCACAAGTGGTGAGGTTGAGGGGTTGTGAGGGGCCTCACAAGTGGTGAGGGTGAGGGGTTGTGAGGGGCCTCACAAGTGGTGAGGGTGAGGGGTTGTGAGGGGCCTCACAAGTGGTGAGGTTGAGGGGTTGTGAGGGGCCTCACAAGTGGTGAGGGTGAGGGGTTGTGATTGGCCTCACAAGTGGTGAGGGTGAGGGGTTGTGAGGGGCCTCACAAGTGGTGAGGTTGAGGGGTTGTGAGGGGCCTCACAAGTGGTGAGGGTGTGAGGGGTTGTGAGGGGCCACACAAGTGGTGAGGGTGAGGGGCCTCACAAGTGGTGAGGGGTTTGTGAGGGGCCTCACAAGTTGTGAGGGTGGGGGTTGTGAGGGGCCTCACAAGTGGTGAGGTTGAGGGGTTGTGAGGGGCCTCACAAGTGGTGAGGTTGAGGGGTTGTGAGGGGCCTCACAAGTGGTGAGGTTGAGGGTTGTGAGGGGCCTCACAAGTGGTAGAGGGTGAGGGGTTGTGAGGGGCCTCACAAGTGGTGAGGGTGAGGGGTAGTGAGGGGCCTCACAAGCTGTGAGGGTGAGGGGTTGTGAGGGGCCTTACAAGTTGTGAGAGGCTTTACAAGTGGTGAGGGTGGGGGGTTGTGAGGGGCCTTACAAGTGGTGAGAGTGAGGGGTTGTGAGGGGCCTTACAAGTGGTGAAGTGAGGGGTTGTGAGGGCTCAAGTGGTGAGGGTGAGGGTTGTGAGGGCTTACAAGTGGTGAGGGTGAGAGGTGTGAGGGCCTTACAATGGTGAGGGTGAGGGGTTGTGAGGGGTCTCACAATGATTGTGAGGGTTGTGAAGGGTTGTGAGGGGTTGTGAGGGGTCTCATAAGAGGTGATTGTGAGGGGTTGTGAGGGGCCTCACAGTGGCAATTGTGAGGGGGTTGTGAAGGGCTGTGAGGGCCTCACAAGTGGTGATTGTGAGGGGTCTCACAAGTGGTGATTGTGAGGGGCCTCACAAGTAGTGATTGTGAGGGGTTGTGAAGGGTTGTGAGGGGCCTCACAAGTGGTGATTGTGAGGGATTGTGAAGGGTTGTGAGGGGCCTCACAAGTGGTGATTGTGAGGAGTTGTGAGGGGCCTCACGAGGGGTGATTGTGAGGGGTTGTGAGGGGCTCTGAGGGGCCTCACAAGTGGTGATTGTGAGGGGTTGTGAGGGGGAATAACTCAGGGTTTCTCGTCAAAATCTGTCACTGTTACAATTATTATAAGGTTCCTTTCTTAACTAAATAAACATAACTTAAGCTAACTTAAACTAACTCAAGCTAACTTTAACTTAAGCTAACTTAGCCCTTTGACTGTCGCAACCCCCAATCCTGAGGTGTCTCATGGTGTCGCAAAATTTAAAAAAAAAATTATTTTTTCTTATGAAATGATAGAGAATCTTTTCCCGATTGTAATGACACCAAAAAAAACGAAATTTGATGGAAAACTGACAGAATTATGCTCTCGCGAAGTTAGCGACCTCGGCGCTGTTTACAAATCGGTGATTTCGCCCAATTTGAGCCCTATTTTCGGCTAATTCCATTGTTCCAGTTGCCCAAACTCATAGCTATTTCTTTAGAACTCCATTTTTTTCTATCGATTGAGTACAAGAAACTGCCCATTTACCAATTTCAACTGCCCAATAATGTGGTCAGAAATTTGCAATTTGGCCAATTTCACGAAAACTAAAAAATATGACAATTTCAAAATAAGGTCCAGAATGAACAATGCAACATTCCTGGCTCTAAAATAACATTTTCTTTGTTCATCAGTCATGTCTCCAGGCACCTCTGATATTACTCTTGCTTTCTATTTTGAATTTTTATTCAAACAAAAAATAGAAGACTTACTATTATGTAGACTACTGCAATACTGTAATAATTGTATAAATAACATCAACCCATTCATGACTGCATATTAGAATGGCTAGTTGGACATTTATTGGACAATGACATCATTTGTTTACTTTTGAACATTGGCAAAAATCAAACATTTCCCCTAATTTGAGCTCCATTTCTAGGTTCTTTTTTATAGTAAAATCAATCAAAATCACCTCTATTTCTATAATATGTTTTCCATTCTATCAAGTGAGACCAAGAAAACGAGAATACAACCATAAATACTATACGAAAATAGACCACAAAGTCGGCATTTTAATTAAAAAAAACGGTCGGAGTTTTTTTTTTCTCATTATGCACTGCGTGCTGCAGTTTTTTTTTTATATGGTGCACACTGACCACACAGACCCATTCTCTCACGTGGGCCTATCAGCTTTCTCCTGCTTGATTTGAAGCCGCTAGAATTTATGAGTATATATACGTCAAACACGGTACCTCGTAAGACGTATATATACGGCCGCGACAGTCAAAGGGTTAAACTAACTCAAGTTAACTTTAACTTAAGCTAACTTAAACTAACTCAAGCTAACTTGAACTTAAGCTAACTTAAACTATCTCAAGCTAACTTTAACTTAAGCTAACTTAAACTAAGTGAAGCTAATTTTAACTTAAGCTAACTTAAACTAACTCAAGCTAACTTTAACTCAAGCTAACTTAAACTAACTCAAGCTAACTTTAACTCAACCTAACTTACAATAACAACTTACATTAATTTTAACGATTTGGTTGAGTGGTTTGTCTCGCAGCAGCGACAGAATACTGCTACTCTGGGGTGCTGCTGCACAGCTGACACCCGCTGCTGCTGCCGCTGCACCACCACCGCTGCACTGCTGCACCACCACTGCTGCTGCTGCAGCACCACCACCGCTGCACTGCTGCACCACCGCTGCTGCTGCCGCTGCACCACCACCGCTGCACCTCTGCACCACCACCGCTGCTGCCGCCGCACAGCAACGACGCAACAACCACCTCACACACAGTCTTCTCAACATTGATAAACACTAACGTTGATGATGATCTGACCGCTGGAGTAAATATTGATGACCATCACACAACCCGTCTCAAACATAAATGATGCATTAGTAAATTATTATTATTATTATTATTATTATTATTATTATTATTATTATTAATATTATTATATTATCACTGGTCTATTTATTACAACATAAGAAGGAAAGAAGCATGCATACTGGCCCATGTTAGGCCAGTCATAGCCATCTACTGGCCCATGTTAGGCCAGTCATAGCCATCTACTGGCCCATGTTAGGCCAGTCATAGCCATCTACTGGCCCATGTTAGGCCAGTTCTAGCCATCTACTGGCCCATGTTAGGCTGGTTCAAGCCATCTACTGGCCCATGTTAGGCCAGTCCAAGCCATCTACTGGCCCATGTTAGGCCAGTTCAAGCCATCTACTGGCCCATGTTAGGCCAGTCCAAGCCATCTACTGGCCCATGTTAGGCCGGTCATAGCCATCTACTGGCCCATGTTAGGCCAGCCATAGCCATCTACTGGCCCATGTTAGGCCAGTCATAGCCATTTACTGGTCCATGTTAGGCCAGTCATAGCCATCTACTGGTCCATGTCAGGCCAGTCCAAGCCATCTACTGGCCCATGTTAGGCCATTCATAGCCATCTACTGGCCCATGTTAGGTCAGTCATAGCCATCTACTGGCCCATGTTAGGCCAGTCCAAGCCATCTACTGGCCCATGTTAGGCCAGTCATAGCCATCTACTGGCCCATGTTAGGCCAGTCATAAGCATCTACTGGCCCATGTTAGGCCAGTCATAGCCATCTACTGGTCCATGTATAGGCCAGTCATAGCCATCTACTGGCCCATGTTAGGCCAGTCATAGCCATCTACTGGCCCATGGTAGGCCAGTCATAGCCATCTACTGGCCCATGGTAGGCCAGTCATAGCCATCTACTGGCCCATGTTAGGCCAGTCATAGCCATCTACTGGCCCATGTTAGGCCAGTCATAGCCATCTACTGGCCCATGTTAGGCCAGTCATAGCCATCTACTGGCCCATGTTAGGCCAGTCATAGCCATCTACTGGCCCATGTTAGGCCAGTCCATAGCCATCTACTGGTCCATGTTAGGCCAGTCATTGCCATCTACTGGCCCATGTTTAGGCCAGTCATAGCCATCTACTGGTCCATGTTAGGCCAGTCATAGCCATCTACTGGCCCATGTTAGGCTAGTCATTGCCATCTACTGGTCCATGTTAGGCCAGTCATAGCCATCTACTGGCCCATGTTAGGCCAGTCATAGCCATCTACTGGCCCATGGTAGGCCAGTCATAGCCATCTACTGGCCCATGTTAGGCCAGTCATAGCCATCTACTGGCCCATGTTAGGCCAGTCATAGCCATCTACTGGCCCATGTTAGGCCAGTCATAGCCATCTACTGGCCCATGTTACTCCAGTCATAGCCATCTACTGGTCCATGTTAGGCCAGTCATAGCCATCTACTGGCCCATGGTAGGCCAGTCATAGCCATCTACTGGCCCATGTTAGGCCAGTCATAGCCATCTACTGGCCCATGGTAGGCCAGTCATAGCCATCTACTGGCCCATGTTAGGCCAGTCATAGCCATCTACTGGCCCATGTTAGGCCAGTCATAGCCATCTACTGGCCCATGTTAGGCCAGTCATAGCCATCTACTGGCCCATGTTACTCCAGTCATAGCCATCTACTGGCCCATGTTAGGCCAGTCATAGCCATCTACTGGCCCATGTTAGGCCAGTCATAGCCATCTACTTGCCCATGTTAGGCCAGTCATAGCCATCTACTGGTCCATGTTAGGCCAGTCATAGCCATCTACTGGCCCATGTTAAGCCAGTCATAGCCATCTACTGGCCCATGTTAGGCCAGTCATAGCCATCTACTGGCCCATGTTAGGCCAGTCATAGCCATCTACTGGTCCATGTTAGGCCAGTCATAGCCATCTACTGGCCCATGTTAGGCAGTCATAGCCATTACTGGCCCATGTTAGGCCAGTCATAGCCATCTACTGGTCCATGTTAGGCCAGTCATAGCCATCTACTGGCCCATGTTAGGCCAGTCATAGCCCTCTACTGGCCCATGTTAGGCCAGTCATAGCCATCTACTGACCCATGTTAGGCCAGTCATAGCCATCTACTGGCCCATGTTAGGCCAAGTCATAGCCATCTACTGGCCCATGTTAGGCCAGTCATAGCCATCTACTGGTCCATGTTAGGCCAGCCATAGCCATCTACTGGCCCATGTTAGGCCAGTCCAAGCCATCTACTGGCCCATGTTAGGCCAGTTCAAGCCATCTACTGGCCCATGTTAGGCCAGTCCAAGCCATCTACTGGCCCATGTTAAGCCGGTCATAGCCATCTACTGGCCCATGTTAGGCCAGCCATAGCCATCTACTGGCCCATGTTAGGCCAGTCATAGCCATTTACTGGTCCATGTTAGGCCAGTCATAGCCATCTACTGGTCCATGTCAGGCCAGTCCAAGCCATCTACTGGCCCATGTTAGGCCATTCATAGCCATCTACTGGCCCATGTTAGGTCAGTCATAGCCATCTACTGGCCCATGTTAGGCCAGTCCAAGCCATCTACTGGCCCATGTTAGGCCAGTCATTGCCATCTACTGGCCCATGTTAGGCCAGTCATAGCCATCTACTGGCCCATGTTAGGCCAGTCATAGCCATCTACTGGTCCATGTTAGGCCAGTCAATAGCCATTCATACTGGCCCATGTTAGGCAGTCATAGCCATCTACTGGCCCATGGTAGGCCAGTCATAGCCATCTACTGGCCCATGGGTAGGCCAGTCATAGCCATCTACTGGCCCATGTTAGGCCAGTCATAGCCATCTACTGGCCCATGTTAGGCCAGTCATAGCCATCTACTGGCAAATGTTAGGCCAGTCATAGCCATCTACTGGCCCATGTTAGGCCAGTCATTAGCCATCTACTGGCCCATGTTAGGCCAGTCATAGCCATTACTGGTCCATGTTAGGCCAGTCATTGCCATCTTACTGGCCCATGTTAGGCCAGTCATAGCCATCTACTGGTCCATGTTAGGCCAGTCATAGCCCATTCATGGCCCATGTTAGGCTAGTCATTGCCATCTACTGGTCCATGTTAGGCCAGTCATAGCCATCTACTGGCCCATGTTAGGCCAGTCATAGCCATCTACTGGCCCATGGGTAGGCCAGTCATAGCCATCTACTGGCCCATGTTAGGCCGGTCATAGCCATCTACTGGCCCATGTTAGGCCAGCCATAGCCATCTACTGGCCCATGTTAGGCCAGTCATAGCCATTTACTGGTCCATGTTAGGCCAGTCATAGCCATCTCTACTGGTCCATGTCAGGCCAGTCCAAGCCATCTACTGGCCCCATGTTAGGCCATTCATAGCCATCTACTGGCCCATGTTAGGCCAGTTCAAGCCATCTACTGGCCCATGTTAGGCTAGTCATTGCCATCTACTGGCCCATGTTAGGCCAGTCCAAGCCATCTACTGGCCCCATGTTAGGCCAGTTCAAGCCATCTACTGGCCCATGTTAGGCCGGTCATAGCCATCTACTGGCCCATGTTAGGCCAGTCATAGCCATTCTACTGGCCCATGTTTAGCCAGTCATATGCCATCTACTGGCCCATGTTAGGCCAGTCATAGCCATCTACTGGCCCATGTTAGGCCAGTCATAGCCATCTACTTGCCCATGTTAGGCCAGTCATAGCCATCTACTGGTCCATGTTAGGCCAGTCATAGCCATCTACTGGCCCATGTTAAGCCAGTCATAGCCATCTAACTGGCCCATGTTAGGCCAGTCATAGCCATCTACTGGCCCATGTTAGGCCAGTCCAAGCCATCTACTGGCCCATGTTAGGCCAGTTCAAGCCATCTACTGGCCCATGTTAGGCCAGTCCAAGCCATCTACTGGCCCATGTTAGGCCGGTCATAGCCATCTACTGGCCCATGTTAGGCCAGCCATAGCCATCTACTGGCCCATGTATAGGCCAGTCATAGCCATTTACTGGTCCCATGTTAGGCCAGTCATAGCCATCTACTGGTCCATGTCAGGCCAGTCAAGCCATCTACTGGCCCATGTTAGGCCATCATAGCCATCTACTGGCCCATGTTAGGTCAGTCATAGCCATCTACTGGCCCATGTTAGGCCAGTCCAAGCCATTACTGGCCCATGTTAGGCCAGTCATAGCCATCTACTCGCCCATGTTAGGCCAGTCATAGCCATCTACTGGCCCATGTTAGGCCAGTCATAGCCATCTACTGGTCCATGTTAGGCCAGTCATAGCCATCTACTGGCCCATGTTAGGCCAGTCATAGCCATCTACTGGCCCATGGTAGGCCAGTCATAGCCATCTACTGGCCCATGGTAGGCCAGTCATAGCCATCTACTGGCCCATGTTAGGCCAGTCATAGCCATCTACTGGTCCATGTTAGGCCAGTCATAGCCATCTACTGGCCCATGTTAGGCCAGTCATAGCCCTCTACTGGCCCATGTTAGGCCAGTCATAGCCATCTACTGACCCATGTTAGGCCAGTCATAGCCATCTACTGGCCCATGTTAGGCCAGTCATAGCCATCTACTGGCCCATGTTAGGCCAGTCATAGCCATCTACTGGTCCATGTTAGGCCAGCCATAGCCATCTACTGGCCCATGTTAGGCCAGTCATAGCCATCTACTGGCCCATGTTAGGCCAGTCCTAGCCATCTACTGGCACATGTTAGGCCAGTCATAGCCATCTACTGGCCCATGTTAGGCCAGTCATAGCCATCTACTAGCCCATGTTAGGCCAGTTCAAACCATCTACTAGCCCATGTTAGGCCAGTCATAGCCATCTACTGGCCCATGTTAGGCCAGTCCAAGCCATCTACTGGCCTATGCTAGGCTGGTTCAAGCCATCTACTGGCCCATGTTAGGCCAGTCCAAGCCATCTACTGGCC